GGAGAGCCAAGCAGCTATACATTTATTGTTAAACAAAATAATTAGCTTAGCGTATAAACTACATATGTATATGTACCATCTAATAATACGATATGATATATAGGCAAGTGAAACAAAAACAAAACAAAACAACAAAAATCAACAAAAAATGCGAAAATCGAAAAATATAATAAAAGAAAAAAAACCACATGATTAGTTAAAGTTAAAAACAAAAAAACTTGTGTTGCCTTTTCGTCGTCATTTATCATTATTCCACATATAGTATTTCTATATTTAGTAGAGCTACTCTCGAAGCGTATTTTGTGGGTCTTAAAACTGCGCTGCCTAAAACCAAGCCTGATCTGATCGAACACACACACTATCTAATATCTACACTACTCTTAAGGTACTTATGATTTTTGCTTTTGTACAACGAACTCGAAAAGCAATGGCAGAACTTCTCTCTCCCCACACTCAGTACTCACAGTCGGAAACTTCTACTAGAACTGTATCGTATGTCTAAATGTACATAACAATAATTTACAAACCACAATCTAAAGTGCGACTACGAGTATATATATATATATATATATATGTAGTATATAGTATACATAATATACGTATACATTTAGGTGTTAAGTATATATAGGTTAGGGATTGGTCGAATGCAATTGATCATTTATCATTTCCAATCACGTAGTGGCCATAGAAAGTAACACTCTTATGAAGGAGAACCGCGGGAACCACAGAGCACAGAGCACAGACCACAGACCACGCAGGTACGCGGCAGCGGTGACGGCTAGTGGTGCTGGATAGTTAGGTGGATGGATGGATGAACCACGAACCATTTAACATTACCCTAAGTACGAGTACGAGTATGAATAGCTTTCACAATAAGGTGCATTAGTAACTCAGCTTGATAAATCATATACATAAACACCTATCTATATCTAGCATTATAATCAATAACTTTGCAATACAAAAACCCATACAAGATACAAACAAACAAAAGTACCAAATAAGTTAGTGAACAAACAAAAAAACTGCTCAAGATTCGAAAGAAAAACAAAATCGAAACTGAAACCGATACAGAAATAAAAAAAAACAAACAAAAATGGAATATCAATAAGCACAAAATCGTATTGTACCACATATGAACACAGAAAACGCTTTGTTGGCCTAGTCCCCAAGGAAAGTAGAGAGAGAGAGAGATATGGATGGGAGATCGCTAGAGGATGGATTGGAAAGAATATCAGAAGTATCCTGAAGTATCGGAACATTTGCTCCTGTTGTGCATTTCTTTGTTTGTTGCTCTGTTTGTTATAGAAAGAAAAGTAAGGAAAAAAATCACAAAAAATGTTGAACGAGTAAGGAATGTGTTGAGGATACGGATGAATGTTACGAAGGATGATATGGGGTAGTGTGAGGAAGGAATGGAACCCATGGGCAACTAAGAAATAGAGTATGTTATACAGTATATTATTATTGCTATTATTATTATTATTAGTATTGCTGCGCATCATGATAAGTCGAGCCGAAAACTAATTATACACAGCACCGACAACTGCAACCACTTGCGACAACAACCAGAACAACTCGAACAAACCGAGCATTGCAATGAGATATAAAGACAGACACGAACAAAAATGAGCGGAGTTTTTACCGACAAGGATTATTCTAATGATAACGATAACGATGATCATCATTGATGATCATTAATGATGATGATGCTAATGATAACTATTATTAAACGACAAAAAAAGAAAAAACCAACCAAAAAAAATCACAAACCAAAAAAATGTATTTATTTATTTTAATTTATATATACACTAGAGAGTTATTACAAATATATATATACATATATATATATACTATAATGTATAAGAAGAACGAAGAAAAAACGCGCCATGAAAAATGAGTTTTGCCATTTGGGAAGGGGAGGGAAAACCCGACACAAGTTTTCCTATTGGAAATCCACCAACTAAAAGGTGTGTAGTAGTGTGTCCCCCAGAGGACCTACAACATAAATTCGATGATTTATGGAGTTTGGGAACGCATTCGACTGTCGCTTTACTACCACAAAATGATGTCCTACGGCACATGTTAGCAGAGCGCTGGCCATAAAACTTGAGCAAACAGGCACAGGACAGGAATTATGCAAACAGACGCGGGCCCGAATATACTCGTATGTAGGTGTATTTGGAACTAAGGAACACTCGCTCTAACCCCCAGACAATTAAGACATAGTCCAGCGGCTAACATCTTCATAACACGCGCGATAGGTAACAGCAGTCCAACCGAAAATGCCACCAACAGTTTTTGGGCTAGAGCCAGTGCAGAGCCAACAAATTACCCTGAAATTTCCAACGATCAAAGGCAGTCATAGAGAGCTGGCCCTTCGATGATATCTTTGGATGATATCTTGGTGGAGGAGCAGCACATAAATCTGCCAGCAAAATGGGAAGACCCCGGAGAGACAGAGAGACCCAACGACAGGTTGCAGCTCAATAAAGATCCAAATAAATATTATATCGCTGGTCTATGGATCGAACAAAGAAAGAAATGAAAAAGGATGAGTTCATTTAGGGTTCGCCTTGCAGGTAGTCTGCTTGCGGCGGCCCATTGCCCGAGGTTCAACCTGTTTCGATGCAACAATGCTGGAGAGAGAGAGAGGGCGTTTTGCCCTCTACTGCTCCGAGAGGCGGTTGAAATCAAATGGTCAAGGCTTTTGTAAACGGGTGACATTTGAAAATTATGGCATGTAAATGGAAGGCATTCCGGGAAGGGAAGGCAAAGGAAAGGCTAAAGCGTTGACAGCTTGACTCTGCGGCTAAGGATTGTTGTGGTATGGGGGCTACTGTTAATCAATTTGGTGACCTCTTCGATCGATTCATTTTAGAGGGCAGATGTGGCCAGGGGATAAGTGCAAAGGCTGCGCATCGATGTGGCTGTTAGATGTTAGATAAAACAAAAGGAATCTATTACTGTTTGCGGATGGATTTCTGTCTGTAAGTTTGCGTTGTAGTCTCTCTTTGTATCGCAAGGTGTTTTCTCTGTGTTTTAGTTTATCTTCTCTGAACGTTCACCTCTGGATTCTGCTATATCTTTCCAAGATTTATTTATTCTCTAAAGATCTATCACCTCATCTTTCCGCAATAATCTAGGCATTAGTTTGCCCAGCTTAACCCCAAACCTATATTACTCATCTATCTATCTTTTGCTTTATCTTTTGCCTCCACCCCAGGGCGTATGCGTGTTAAAGCTTTGAGCTGCTGTCAAGCTTTCCTCTCGTTTGATATACGAGCATGCGAGGGGCCATTAAAGTGCCGCCTTTGTAATGCGGAAACATCAAAGTGCATTCAATCATACACACACAGACACACCAGAGCAAACATTTGCATACACACACACACACACACACACACACACACACGCACACAGATACAGACTCAATGTAAAGCCATAAAAATCACTTTGTAGCCAGGAAAGAGGGAGCAGCAGCAAGAGGATGAGGAAACGAAAGGGAGCGGAGCCCCATGGAGGCGGCGCATCAGCGCAAACTATGCAACAACAACAACAAAAACAACAGCAACACTCCAGCCACAGGAAAAAGTGCAATGCAATCAATTCAAAGGAGCGAAAGGGGCTGGAGTGGGCACAGGCGGAGAGGCTGAGGCTGAGAGAAACTGCCAACAGACGGCAGGCAGCATTTAATCCTGCAAAAAAAGGCATTGCGAGGCAGCATAAAATGATGTTAATCCTTAAATAACGTGAGCAGGGCGCAAAAAAAAGAGAAGGAGCAGAAGCATCGTGATGCAGTTGGAGAGCAGTGGAGAGCACGAGAAGTGCCGAGTGGTAGTGGGAGGAGATGCTGCCCGATGTCGACAGCAAAATGCCAATTGAATGCCAAGCGGCTTTAAAAGGCAGCAAGCAGCACACTCCAAAAAGAGAATCGAGTACAGGCCAAGAGATGCTGAAAAATGATGCCACAGACGAAGGAACCTTTGCAGAATCAGCCTAACAAAGTCTAAATGATGGAATTGCTTCAATATAACAATGGTTTTGGGGATTAAGGAAGGGAGGAGAACGTAGGAAAGTATTCAAACTTACATAGATCATAATTTGTAGACTTAAAAACTAAGCTTTGAGTGTCCAAAGATGTTTGCAATGCTTAAAGGAAGAAAGTAGCAAACTTGTACAGCATTTTGGAGTGAATTTAGTTAAAGTTCCACTTGGAAAAGTGTCAGAAAGGGAGGCGATCTACGCCTCCTACGATTTTCTGCAGCTTTAAAACATAGGAATCTCATATTTTACTCTCAGCTATCATTCCCTACGCTCATTGCATTGCCACCTTTAAATGTTTCCTCAACTTAAATGTTCTCCCTGCAGGAAGCGCTACTCCACTATCATATCTGGCATTCCATTAAATGAAAAAATACTCCCAAAAAAACAGCACGAATAAAGTATTCAACAACATTCACAACTGTCCACTGGCATGGCATGGCAGAGCCAGCCGCCTTTCCCGTCAAGCGGTTTGACCCCAAAAAGTCAAGTGCGGCCGCGTCCGAGTTCTGTTCTCCAACCATCCATTCATCTATACATCCACTGGGGCACAACACAGAGACAGCAACAACACCCACCCATCCAATGGCACCGGCACGCGCCGGCGCACTCAATTGGCCGCGCAGTGGTGCTGCTGGTGCTGCTGATGCTCTGTGTGCTGGTGGTGCGAGAGCCATTCGAATCCACTCAAAATGGGGGACGACAAGCGGAAACTCGTTCCGAAAGTGGGCGTAGCCCGTCGACCCGGTGGCAGGCATGGCAACCAATCAACAACATCCCCGAGACGACAGCTGTGGCTCGAGGAACCAGTTGAGCGGGTTTTCGAGTCCAATTTCGGAGCTGTTGTTCCACTGCTCGTGGTGGTGGTGTGCTCTGTGTGTGTGGTGGTTGTGTTTGGTTTTGCCGTTTGCTATGGGTAGGCATATGGAAACCGGGCGTCATCGTCACAGACACATCACATCCAATGCTGCCGTCAGATCCGTGTGGCTAGAGCACCGGCAGTTTACGCAGTGGCCTCGAAGCTGTAACAACGTCGCGTCCGCTCAGCTCCGCTCCGATATCGCTCTCGAAACGTATTCTCTGGTTCGCTGGCTGTGGCTCGTTTCGTTTGAGCCACGATTGCCGTCGTTCTTGGGCCCCAACGTGTTATCGCGACACGCGTACGCATCGCTCTTGATAAGGTGTCTCGCCCCGTGCTCCTACCAACAACCAACCAACAACATATCGACCTTATAGCCGACGGCAGAGTGAACTGTTAACGAATGTGCTAATCAATGAAAATGTTGCAAACGCTCGCAAATTGATCCATCGGATACATTGTATCGAAATTATTTATAGCAACGGCATATTATATAAGGCGCAATCTTATGAAGCCAGTGACAACTGTTGGACGCTTGACAAACACTGATCAAGTCGTCCTAAGATCTACACGCTAAGCTCCTACACTCCGCACTCTGCTAGGGGAGGGGAGGTCCAGTTCGATAAAAGCTGGCTAAAGAATTTTGTGCAAAAGACTTGGATTAAAAACCGCCAAAATTGTGGAGGCAATTAAAATGAAGGTGAGTTTATGGCAGAGGGTAATACAGGAATCTGCAAGGGATTACCGATAATAAGAATCATCAAACAATAATACTTTCATACTAATGATGATATCCGACAGTTCTGATATGTAAATAGCAACAATACTTAGTTAGGCAGAAGTTTCCCAAGCAAGAACACTTTTAAAGCATTGAAAACTATTTTCTAACTATTTATTATAAACAAATCGGGTTGATTATGGCTTGAAACGCACTTTAAGTTTCTTTAAAGATATTTATCAACACCCTTCCAATTTCACATCTGCATTTATTGAGTATGTGTTTTAGCTTTCCTTTTTAATTGGTGCACGTGTAAGAGAAGACAACACTCTGTGACCCATAAAATGTTTTTTGTTGGCCCGCTGAGAGCATTTGGGCCAGAAAAAACGCAACAGGCGGCGTCTGGCCAACCATTAGATATGGCAGCGTGCCAGTGTGTGTGTGTGTGTGTGTGTGTGTGTGTGTGTGCGTGGACAAAGATCTTAGACTCAAAATCTAGATACAGATTCCGATCGAGATCCAATTCAATTTCAAAAGCAAAGCGATTTGATCTGATCACTCTAATAACCGCTGGAAAACGATGAGTTTCCAAAACACAGGCAGGCAGGCAACAGACAGACAGACAGACAGACAAAAAAAAACCACAACGGAGCGCGGTGAATATGAAAAGCACACAGATCGCACAGTGGGGGGGTGCATATCGGAGGAGCAGCTACGGAACATGACGGAACAGCCCACACTTTTGAGTGAATAAAAAAAATGATTTTCGGCTGTGATCTGCAGTGGATGCCAAACCCCCACAAATAGTTGATACTCGGCTGAACATTAGCTAAACATTTTCTCTCAATGTTGCATTGATCGTGTCGCCTGGATGATGTTGCTCAATTCAAATGTTCATTCAACAAAACAAAACAAAAAGATTTCATTTTTAGCCGGTTCTTTTTTTTTGTTTTTTGTGGGACTTAAACGTTTAATCGATTTTTGCACCCGCTGTGAGAGCTTTTTTTTGTGTGTGAGCCACCCACAGGATTTGTATTTTATATTCGGGTTTTACGTGTACTATAAAATACGAAACGAAATGCTCGTATTTTTGGGATGAGTCTGCAGAGAATTGATCATGATTTATGCTCGTCGATGATCGATTTGCCATGGCTTTGTTCAACGAATGTAATTTTCATTACCATATCAAATTGGACAAGGTGCTGACGCTTATTGCTGTGGCCCCCACACTGGACCGAAAGTGTTATAGATTCTCGGCGCAGACTCCTCCAACACGGATCGTAGACTATCCGATAACTGTCAGTGTGAGAACAGCGGGAGATCTACATAAGTCGGAGCCGCTTACAACCACAAAACCCCAGGCTTAAATCCCCGAAAATCAAATGTCAACAGTTCTAAGCCGCTGGCTTTGGTCAAACAATGGGCCGAAGACCTTTTCTTGACATCATCGATCTTGACCCCGCCCCAGTTGTTCGGCTCTGCTACTCTCTCATCCCAATCCCCAAGCCCATCCACAGCCTCAACCCCAACTCAATCCCAAATACAAATCCGAAAATGACGCCACTAGGCGCTTGCTTATGAATATTCAACAATGTATATGGGGTCTTTCTTCTGCCTGCCTTCTCTTAGGTAGTACACACGTCTCGCATCGCATCGCATCGCATCGGGTCGGGAGAAAGAGGTATAAAAAAGGCATAAATATTTAAGCGTTTAAATGTCGAATGTGCCTGCAAAGCCACTATAAAAAAATGAGAACAACAACATACAGCCATACATATTTCAATAAATGATTTTTCATTAATAATTCACAAGAAAATTGAAAGAAGCTAAGAAAAAAAGAAAAAGAAATAGAAAGAAATCCCCACATAAATATTACAAAAGTTGTGTGTAAAAACTTGTTGACGCCTTCCCCAACATATGAGATCCTCATGGCGGCTAGTTTTTCTTTAATTTGTGGCAAGAGTTGGAGTTTTGAGTTGGGTTTTAGCTAAGGGATTAGTCAAGGTTTTTACTTTGATCTGTGTTTGTATAGATTGTGGTTTTGGTTTAAGTTAATGCGGAATAAAAGGAATATAAATATGAGTTCAGACTGCTAAAGGGTAACAATTTAATGGATTATAGTTTCAATTTGTTGTTTTAGTTTCTTAGACTAGATGTAGCCATCTTAAAATAATTTTAGGGATCTAAAAACTGACTAGTAAAACATATACAAATCTTTGATCAAATTTTAACATTATCAGCAGAGTTTTTCCTTCACTAAATTAGCTAGTAATAATTTATAATCGTAATTAAACAATTGCTAAAATCATTAACCACAATCTAGCCGCAATAATCATGATAAATCTAAACTAATTCCCAACTTCTCACCGACTTTGCCATATCTGCAAATCTACTGATTACCTTTGAATGCTGAACAAAACACCTTTTGGTAGATTACACGCCTTAGTCCTCGTATTGTCTGCTTAAATCCCACACAAGAATCACCGGTACAAGCGCGTGCCAGTTGCATCTTGAGAGCTGGAAAAACAGCTGTCAGACCAGCGGTCAGCTAGAGACAGATTTTTCACCATACGATGATCATAATTGGCTTGACAATGCCCATATGCATCGAGTGTCCAGTGTCCAATATCGGAATCTGTCTAATTGTCAGGGCGGCGTCGACGTCTGTATGGCGTGACAATGCTGACAAGAAGTCTACGCCTTGGCCCTCTCCAGCCTGAACAATGGACAAGCACAAAAATGCATCTTGACTTGAGCCAATTGCCCCGATCAGGGACAAAAGAGAAACAAATATCACACCTTTGTTTATGCCCCCACGAACAACGCATAGAGACAATAGATCTCTCAAGCGGGCCTGCACATAGATGTGTTGTTTTTTTTTTGGTCAGTTTTTGGTCCTCTTCTCGGGGTTTGGGTTGCGCATGCGAACTGCAATTTTTCCCGATCTCTGTGGCAGGCATTCTCTAGGGAGAAACGTGTCAAAATCGCAGCAGCACTTTTAGCAGGTAAATGTGAAAAATCCTCTTCGAATGAACATCAAATGCAGAAGGCAGCAGAGCAGGGCAGGGCAGGAGAGGGCAGGAGACAGGCACAAAACCGCACAAAAGAAATTGTCTTGAGGAGAGTCGCAACGAGTCGAGGAGTCGAGTCGAGTGTCTTTCATTGTTCGTTTGAGTGCATCCACAAAATAGTCCTTAAAGGACGCTTAGTTGGCTTACAAATGATGCATGGCCATGGGGCAGGGGTAGTTGCAGGGGCAGGGGCAGGGGCAGACGAAGCAAATAAAATTGTAAAATGCCACAAATCATTCTAACTCCTGTCTACTGCTGGAACCCAACAACAGAAAAAAAAGGAATAACAGAAAGACAAAATCTACCCAAAGAAACCCGCCCCTAAATTGTCTAGGGCTGTGCGGCCTCTGTCCAGCAACAACCCCCTAAGGAGCTCTATCCATGTTCTTCTGGTGCTGGTACTTTTACTGGTCCTGGTCCTGGTCCTAGCCCTGGTGCTCCTTCCGGTCCTGGCCTGGCCTAACAATCCGTAACGACAAACCAATCGATTGTTGGCCCCCCAAAAGATTACACAAAAACCCATCCATCCTTTGGCAAAATAAATGTTCAAAGTTCTCTCTCTGCTCCATCCGTGTGTGTGTGTGTGTGTGTGTGAAAATATTGTTATTTAATTGCTTGACAATTGCAAATTGGCCCAAAAGAGGAGCCTCTTATCGATGTGGCTGATCTGTGGCACAGTAGCCGGATTGGGTAGTAGTTCGGAAGGGAAGAGGCTTCCTCGGAGGTTGACTCAAAACTAGTTTCGATACGTTTGAAAAGCACCGCTAAAATCATTCAAAGTCACCTCTGTCCCATAGACCAAATAAATTATCAGTTAGAACTTTGGCGGTGGCCCACAACCAAACACAAAAAAACCGCTTCAGACTTGATTTATTGCCGCACAAAAAAAAACCAGAGAAACAAAATAAAATTTGCATTGGGATTGGGCTGAGAGGCTGCGGCTGCGGCTGCGTGCGAGTGGAAATATGAAAATATTTTTTAGTAATTTATGCAAAATGCAGATTTAGCTAATTAATTGTGGCCAATGCCCAATAAAAAGTTAGAAATCAAACACGAAATCCCCTCCCAAAAACTCTGCACAAAGATCAGCTGTAAAAGAGACAAACTTCAACAAATGAAAAACGAAATCAATAAAAAAGCCAACTTATTGATGTTTAGTGGCTGTGACATGTTGACGAAAAGACAAAGGCATTACGGATTTTTGGTTTCGGATTCACTCGGACCCCCCCGACGACCCGTCCCAACAGGCAGACCCCGCCGAGACGGCTTTATGATGAATGCCTTAAAAATGCGAAGCATCAAAAAAGATGCAAAAAAAAGATATACAAAAAAAAAGACAAGAAAAACGCGTGTCGAAAACGTTTGAGATATTTGCGCGATTTATAAGCGATTTATTAGCACTCAAACATCGCGTATTCACTCCGAGAGGGCCAGAGAGTCAGAGAGTCAGAGAGAGAGAGAGACCCACACAGAGTTCTCTCTGTGGACCCCTTTGAGTGTGGGGTTTTCTCTCCAGCTAGAAATTATTTGCACAACTGTCGTTTGATTATCTTTATTCGCATATAAATTTATGCAAGCAACACAACAAAAAGTTCACTTTATAAAAAATATAAATATAAATATTTCAAATAAAAAATGGCAATTGAAATGTTTGCTGTACTGCCGATAGCCATAGGGCCAACAGGGTTGCCAAGTTCGTTTAGTAAACCCAATTTGTATGCAAATATTCAAGTGGAATTTATTGCTTAACAAATTGCAGAGCCACTGGGCGCTCAATTAAACAAAGTAACGCAATAACTTGGCATTCTTTATGCCGTCACATAACAAATTCGTTAGAGATTATCTTTAATTAAGAGATAATCTTAGATGTATATGAGAGGAGACTTCAAACATAATTTGATGCGACATTGC